TTTTCAATGAAGTAAGTACTTCCTGAAAGGATTTCTCATTCGACTTCCTAGTTTTTATCAGTGAAGTAAATACTTCCTGAAAGGATTCAATCAATTTACTAGTTTTTAAGATGAAGTAAATAATTCCTGAAAGGATTTCTAATCCGGCGTCCTATTTATCAATGAAATGAATATAATTCCTTTAAAGTAAATACTTGGTGAAAGGATTTCTCGATCGACTTCTTAGTTTTTATTAATGAATTAAATACTTCATGAAAGGATTTCTCAATGTAGTTTTTATCAATACAGGAAGGATTTCTCAATGTAGTTTTTATCAATACAGGAAGGATTTCTCAATGTAGTTTTTATCAATACAGGAAGGATTTCTCAATGTAGTTTTTATCAATGAATTAAATACTTTCTCAAGGGATTTCTCAACCTGCTTTCTAGTTATAATTAATGAAGTAAATGCATTCTTAAGGATTTCTCAACCCAATTTTAATCAATACTGTAAATACTTACTCAATGCTGCTCATATTCTATTAATGTAGTAAATACTTATTAAATAAGAGTTTTTGTCAATGAGGAAAGTACTTCTTGAAAAGATATCTCAAACCACTTCCTGGTTTGTTTTTTTTTCTAGTTTTTATCAATGAAGTAAGTACTTCTTGAAAGGATATGTCGAACCAATTCCTAGTTTTTATCAATACGGTAAATACTTCCTGGCTGGATTTCTCCATCGACTTTCTTGATTGTATCATTGAGGTTATAGTTTTCTCAATGGATTTCTCAACATAATTCTTCGTTTGCATCAAAAAGGTCAATACTATCTGAATGGATTTCTCAATCCACCTCCATATACTTACTAGTTCTATCAGCAAGTTAGACGATTTCTCAACATACTTGCTAGTTCTATCAGCAAGTTAGACGATTTCTCAACATACTTTCTAGTTTTTATCAAAAAGGTAAATATTTTCTCGATATTTCTGAATATACTACCTAGATTTTACCAAGGAGGTAGATTCTTTCTCAATGAATTTCTCAATCTACTTCCTAGTTTTTATGAATAAAGTGAATTTGTTGTCAATGGATTTACTTCTGGATTCTACTTGGTCGTTTTTATCAATTAGGTAGATGCTTTTTCTTATTCCTATATATATATTAATATGGTTAATGGTTTCTCTGTGGTTTTCTCAACTCATTCAGGAGTTTATATTTATCAATACGGCAAATTCTTTCTTAATGGATTTCTCAGCCAACTTCCTAGTTTTTATCAACAAGGTAAATAACTTTTCAATGGAACTTACTTCCTGTTTTCTTATGCTTTCTCAGTGTATTCCTCAATGTATTTCTCAATGTATTTCTCAATGAATTTCTCAATGACTTTCTCAATGTATTTCTCAATGGACTCCTCAGTGGATTCCTCAATGGATTTCTCACTGAATTTCTCAATGGATTCTTCAATGGATTCCTCAATGTATTTCTAAATGTATTTCTCAATGGATTCCTCAATGGATTTCTCACTGAATTTCTCAATGAATTTCTCAATGTATTTCTCAATGGATTTCTCAATGGATTTCTCAATGAATTTCTCAATGTATTCCTCAATGGATTTCTCAATGAATTTCTCAATGGATTTCTCAGTGAGTCAATGTATTTCTCGCTGAATTTCTCAATGAATTTCTCAATGTATTTCTCAATGTATTTCTCATTGTATTTCTCAATGGATTTCTCATTGGATTTCTCTATCTGTTTAGTAGTTTTAATGAAGAAGAGTACTGTTTTCTCAATGAATTTCTCAAACTACTATACATAGTTATTATCAATGAAGTAAATACTTCCTGATCATTCCGCTACCTAGCTTAATGAAAAGGTTAATGCTTTCTCAATGGAATTCGAACGCTTAGACAACAAAACGTCAACTGGAAAATATTATCATAAAGATCAAAACATTTCCAAGACGTGTCATCCTCTTATACTGGTCCCCTCCAAGACTTGATTGAAAATGATAGCCTTGATCAAGTTTCAGTCAGGGACGTTTATCCCATTGATAATGTTTGTTTGTTATGATCCAATAATGAAAAGTCAATAATAATGATACTACGTGACCATATATTGAATGGACGGTTTACTAGTGATCAATGCGTTAATTTGCTACTTTACAATCACCAAGAGAGCTAGACAATTGTTATATTTCTGTCTTAAATCCAGGGGCGCATCTAGAAAATGCTTGAGGAGTGGTCCAAAACTGAGCGTTGTCATGTTGTCGGCACGACCCCCCCCCCCCCCCCCTTCAGATGTCAACGGATTGCAGATGGTCTGAGGTGAGGGCTTAATTCGTGCATTAAAATAAGACCTTTCACAGGCCTCAGGGGTTTGTGGAGGGCATGGCCCAATGATCCTCCTTCTAAATAAGCTACTGCTTGAATCCATTGAAGTTTTGAGTTGATGTATACACATTTGTGATGCACACGCATGGTCGGTTGAAGATGTATTTACCGCTATTTTTTTGTAACAATAAAGGATTTGGGAACAGGCTTTCGCCTCTATCACCCCTCTTCCATAAACATATTTACATAAACATTTTTACATATTAAACAATTTGATTGTTATAAACATATATACAGGCATTGCTACTTAATACACCACTCTTTGCAATATTAACATGTATTTTGACTTTTCTGAAGACTTGTGTGTTGCGTTCCTACTTATATTATATTCTTCTCGTGTTTGTTTGTAGCTTTTCTTACTATTTAGGACGTTATTATTTTTAAATAAAGATTACTTCATTCATATACAAATTTTAATCAAGGAAGTTCGTTGGTTGCTGAGATCCGTGATCCCTGTGAACACAAAAAAACGTCCAATTCAATACATGTACAGAAGAAAATGTAACAAAAAGCGTCTAGACATTGACAAATTCTGTTTTCAATTCTCTTTGTAATTCTGAAAGAAGCTTTGGTAATCAACATTGTACACACATGTTTCCTTACTTACTTAACATACTTCGTAATTTTAATAACAATTTTGTCGAGGCTTTTGTGTAGGTACTCGGGCGCTTAATAGCTATTGTACTCGGTTATAAGCCATGCTTATTAAAAATGTAAGAAGGAGAACTCAACAATATAACACTGACTTTTAATAGAAGGCTTCATTAACAACCGCGAGCGCGTTAATTAGTTTGAAAACTTCGTCAAAATAAATATTAATTTATTAGTTAGAGTGGGATGTGGCCAAAGCATGATAAACGTGTCTATATCCATTAAATTGTATCAACGTCCAGCCCTTTGATAACTTTACCTTTATGATGTTTCTATTCAGTACAGATATATAAGTATGAACCTCTTGTGTTTCAGCACCAAGAAGAGAACAGATGACCTACCTATCTGGAATCATGATGTATAATATTGTATGTTTAGCTTTCCTCTGCCTAGTTACAGACAAATACTGGTAATTATTAACATTTTGTACGTTTTGTCAAAAAAATGTCTTAAGATACGATTCTAATGAATAGAGAGAATAGGTTTTTCAGCTAATTAAGGTTTATAATTAAGTGCGTTTTTTTTACATCGTTAGTCAAACATTTTTTCTTTTTTTTTTTTCGAACTTTTAGGCAAGCAATTTAAAGACAAATTTGATACGAACATTTTTTCATTTTTTTTTTACATCGTTAGGCAAACCATTTCCAGATAATCATGTACTTAACATCCTTAGGCAAAGCAAACCATTTCCAGATAATCTGGTACTTAACATCGTTAGGCAAACCATTTCCAGATAATCTGGTACTTAACATCGTTAGGCAAACCATTTCCAGATAATCTGGTACTTAACATCGTTAGGCAAACCATTTCCAGATGATAAAGAGGTTTTTTTCATAGTCAGGCAAGATACGGTTAAGAAGATATTTAACTTTGTTAGACAAACCTATTTAAAATAATAAGGAGAATTTTCAGTATCCTCCCAATTTGTATATGTGGCACTATATCTATGGTTATTATTTATAGTGATATTGCATCATGTATAATAAAGCAGATTCAACGGCACTATCCAGCTTTCGACCACCAATGATGCACTTGGGCTTGGTGAAAAGTCTTTCAAACTAATTTTTAAATATTTCATTATTTAATTTCAGTGTATGTTTACGTGTTGCTAAAAGGAGCATCGAAAACTTTGATGAAGAAGACGCTGATTTTATTCCGGCATCGTATCCTTATATTACTAAAAGACTTTACCATGGCCTATCTTTCTACCCCTTTCAACACAAGAGACCCTTTGATTACCTGGCCAGTGGCTTGATAGGGAAAAGAGCATACGGTCGATTCGGAGATTATCGAGATTTCATGTGGAAACGGCCTTTTGATACTTTAGCTGCGGGTCTTATCGGAAAACGGACCATCGACTCATTAGCGTCTGGATTAATTGGCAAAAGGAGCTTTGAAACAACACAACCAAAATTTCTTTCAAAAAGATCCATCAGAGGAATGTATCTAGATAAACTGAACATGCAAAATATAAATGAAGGTAGCATGGCAAGTCCAGTGGTTACAAAGAGAAATATAGATTCGTTAGCCAATGGATTGGTAGGTAAACGGCCTATGGATTCATTGGCAAGTGGTCTTGTGGGCAAGAGACCCATGGACTCTTTAGCAAGTGGGCTTGTTGGAAAGCGACATATGGACTCTTTAGCAAGCGGTCTTGTTGGAAAGCGACATATGGACTCTTTAGCAAGTGGGCTTGTTGGAAAAAGATATATGGATTCGTTAGCAAGTGGTCTTGTTGGAAAACGACATATGGACTCTTTAGCGAGCGGTCTTGTTGGAAAACGACATATGGATTCATTAGCAAGTGGGCTTGTTGGAAAACGACATATGGACTCTTTAGCAAGTGGTCTTGTTGGAAAACGACATATGGACTCTTTAGCTAGCGGTCTTGTTGGAAAGCGACATATGGACTCTTTAGCAAGTGGTCTTGTTGGAAAAAGACATATGGATTCATTAGCAAGTGGGCTTGTTGGAAAGCGACCCTTTGATACTTTAGCAAGCGGTCTTGTTGGCAAACGCCCGTTTGATACTTTGGCCAGCGGTCTTGTTGGAAAGCGACCCTTTGATACTTTGGCAAGCGGTCTTGTTGGCAAACGCCCGTTTGATACTTTGGCCAGCGGTCTTGTTGGAAAGCGACCCTTTGATACTTTGGCTAGCGGTCTTGTTGGCAAACGCCCCTTTGATACTTTGGCTAGCGGTCTTGTTGGAAAGCGACCCTTTGATACTTTGGCAAGCGGTCTTGTAGGCAAACGCCCCTTTGATACTTTGGCAAGCGGTCTTGTTGGAAAGCGACCCTTTGATACTTTGGCAAGCGGTCTTGTTGGCAAACGACAAATGGATTCTTTAGCTAGTGGACTGGTCGGTAAACGATTGGTGGATTCTTTAGCGAGTGGTTTAGTTGGCAAACGCCCCATGGATTCATTAGCAAGTGGCTTGGTTGGAAAACGTCATTCATTAAACGACTCATCAAGTCAGAGGGGAACAGATTCAGAATTAAAAGAACAAGTCGGAAAAGGAAACTCAGACGAAACAGATAACGATATCAGTGAACAATTTCTAAACGAACAAATATCTAGTGATAAACAAAATCCTGAAAATTAAAAACTTTTTGAAAACTTTTTTCTGTTTGTATTGATGATATATAGATTCCCTCGATGAAGCTTATAGAATGGGAACAAAGTCACAACGTAATGAACTTCAGAAGCTATGTATCATCAAACAAAATATGACTTCATCGGTATGCTACTAAATAAGTTGAATATTTGGTCACTGACAGAAAAGAAACAGTGAAATCCCATAATTCAACATTAAACACCAGACAATTCTGCTTCCTTTGAAATATGGAATTTTTTGAAACATTGACGCAATTAAATTATTTTTTGGGTAGGGATGGGAATATTTATCTGATGAGCATTTATTTTGCGAAAAAAAAGCACATAGGAAATTCAAATGTTCACAAGAGTGGTAACATCCTCAAATATGGACCCCCACAATACACAATATCGTATGCAAAATTTTCTGAAGATTTCTCATGGTATGGGTATTATAAATATATTATATTATTAAAAGTTTATTGTTATGTTATGTGTTTTATCTCATACCAAATTAATTACGGCAGAAGGCTAAGTGAATCATCAACAAACCCTTATTCAAACATTATTCAAAAAGTGGCTAACCACTAGTCTGTTGTTTTGGTGTGTTTTCAAATCACGTGACATCATAAATATTTATAACGGTCCCCAATGTAGTGTTCTCGGATTATCCAGAACATGGTGGTCAACCCAATCAATACAAAGAGCAGACCAATGAGTGGTTTGTCTTAATATTTTCCTCTCCGCGGATCTTAAAGGGACACATGCTCCATTTCTTTTGAACAATCATACTTTAGTCTTAGCCAATCAGTAATAGTGTTCAAAGCTCATCGTTGAAATTTGAGCTAGCAAATCCATGTGTGTCTAGAATTATCTGAATGTTAAAATGGCGACTCGTCAATATAAGATACTCTGTGATATATAGAAAAGACATCTATATAAATAGTGAGTAAAATATTCCTAGTTTGAAGTATTTTTAAAGGAATGACGCGATTTGCATACAGTACTTCTGAAGACTATTAAAATATATTCAAGGCTATTATCAACCCCCAAAAATGCCGCATCTATCCCTTTAAATCCCATATTGTTACGTGTTCTTGTTTATATTTTACTTGGGCGACTCATCCAAAAGACGGCTCTCTTCTCCTAAGTTCCGGAGTTCGATGGACGCTATGTCAACGTATTTTCTCTCGTGCTTTTTCGGACCAAGGTCAGCAGTTCAGATCAGGACAGGTTTAGTTGTTCGTTCGTACAAACCTCGCGCAGATGATAATAATGTTGTTATTGATAGCCAGTGGTATCAATGGTAAAATATTCAGTTTGGTTGAATTAGTTGATGTTGTTACTAGGGTTAGATATTTGATTCATCCGGTGTCTATATATGGATCGTCTATATTAAGATATTTACAACCATACTAACAAAAAATATATAACTAAGGGAGCTAACTCGCGCAAACGATTCCAGAACGACAATTTTTCATTATAATCCTTAGTTCTGTATAATTTTCATCCTCTTCGTCCAGTAAACCACGTGGACGCCCTGGACATATCCGTTAAGATTTGGTCAACTGAACGATTATAGCCTCTATTCTTTTTCGACTTCTGTTCTTCAACCACTTTGTTCGTGATTTGAAATATTGATTTTAACAATTACCACATTACCAAAAGTGTTGCTTTTCTAACGAGCAAAAGTATTTTATGAATGCAATAAGGTTATAAATATCTAAATGCGTTGGTCTCTGACCAAAAAGATAATGTACATGTATTCATTTGATTCCGATATAGTCTCTATATCAATCAAGGATAACTTGACGTTATTTCATTGGTACCAACAGAACATTTAATATCTGGATTCTCTCCCTTGGAACGTCATAGTCAATTATTGCGCCATTTATAGCATTCCTACTTGCAAACACAAATTTGACCACGTTTGCGTGTTTAGTGTTGTTTTATTTATAGTGGCAGCTTTCTTGTTCAAAACTTTTAGACCTTTTTATCTAGACGTTTGCTGACATAAGCATGTCAAACCTCCTTGATCATCAGACCCGGAAAAAATAATTGCCCCTCCGAACAATCAAGTCTGGCTACGGGCCTGTTGTCCACGACCAAGCTCAAGCCACAACTATGGCATCAAGAAGCTCACTACAAGGGCAATAATCATGAACAGAAACACAACTACATGTATGCATAGGCTAAGGATTCAAACCGGCGCCTCAGATCTTTGATTTTTGATAACTTGTTTGAAAATTTCATGGGAAATCACGACAATTTGATATTTCACAACATTGAAATTTTGATGTGGTAGCCTAACATAAATCGCATTTATTTAGGATCAAAATCAATGAAAGAGGACTATGACCGTCTTGCTCAATGCCTTACTGTCTTTAGTCTAAATAGTATATATGGCAATAGTTTATTTTTAAGGAATATAGAAGAAAACGGAAACAAATAACTTTTATTATGTTACATCATTATATAATTCTCAAGAAAACAACAACTTTTAAAAATATATATCAAATTCTGCAAAGAACGGTAAAATATCTTAAAGTTAGTGATGAGTTGCAACAAAACGAGGTACAGAGGCTGGACTGAAATTTCTGTCAGGGCGTATCCTATATGGGCGTTTCCTGTTTTGGACCAAATACATGACATATCGTCTTCGGATCTGTACTGTGTGTATTTGGTTCTCGAATCTCTACTGTACCGATAATCCAAATTGTAAAACCACAAGAAACACCTCTGCTCTAACTATTGTCATATTTGTCTGCTGTTCGGGCAATTTCTGCATTTCCGTGTTTCGAAGAGTAAGTAATACTATCAGATGCTGACTCAACTGCACACCTGGATCATTAAAAAAGTTATTTTGGTGTCCAGTGGTGGCCCCAAACAGAGCCCCTTAGAATGGATTCGAAAACATTTTTTGGGGTGGCACCCTCCAATCCCAAGTTCTGCAGTCGCCACTGATGGTTTTAAAATATTTCTTTCAGAGGAGAGGTTTGTGATACCCTTTATTGCCATTATTGTCAAATTAAGCAAACTATTTGATTAATTGATGTTTCTATCGCATTATCATGTATTGTTAATCATATCATTATGTTGCTATTGCATATAATTAAGAGTTTTAACCGATCATAAATGTCAATGTATATACAGTCTGGATACACAAAAAAAGATTTTTTAACCTTTCTTGATCGGTCACTCATTGGTATTCTGTTGGTAATTCTCTTCTAATTTAGCCAATTATGAATTAATTATGGACATGTGAGACAAACTGGTATTTTTCCAAGTCATTTGAACACCTCTACTTTCTATTCATATAAGTATTATAACCTTTATTGATCGGTCACTCATTGAAATTCATAAATGAATATAAGGGAACCCATCTTTAAAACTTATGACTTAATGACAATCAATACTATTTGAAACTCAAAAACTGATCCATGTACATTAATTTGTACAAGTTTCAGGCAATAGTCGAGTGATCGGTCAAAAATACATAACAATATTTGATATTTACATTATACATTTATAAATGGAAAGCTGAAAAATGATTAGATTAAAATATATTTTTAACAAAGCCTAATAAGATTTTTAATATAGATATAGATAAATATAGAATTATACTCTAGGAATCTTTTGCTTGTAATGGAAAGGAAATAACAATCCATCAAATAACAATGAATATATATATACAGTTTATGCATGCAAAATCAAACAGAATTGTGGATAAGAACAACCAACACCAATAGGCCATTGGACAACCTTCCGGAAACACTTGACTAGAAAAGTGGTTAGATCCCAAACCGAATGAAATTCAGTGCCGTCCGTGGTTTATTCCTAATGACTGCTGGTTACGAAAACGAAAAATTAAACATTCGCTGCAAAATTTGACTCTCGGGGTGCGATCGGCATATGATTCAAATCAGGGTTCAATTTAGATTTAAAAATTTGATTAGCAATTTATCACACCAAATTTTAGTTTTGGCGAATCAAGTTAAATTTTGATTCACATTTCATAAAAATTCTGTAGCAATCTTAAGTGTCCCAGTTGTTGACTTCAGATCGATCTTGCCAATGACGTTAGTTCCTTTATGTTGTAGATATTTTTGAGATTTGCCGTATATTTCTAGCTTCGACAGAGAATTCTCATGAAAAATCTACATTTTTATTTGATTCGCAGATCTTCATGATACATTTTGAAATGCAAGCTGCCTTGCGATACCGCCTAAAACAACTTGTTCGAACTATGATTCAAACTAAATACACGTACCATTCGGTTGCATTTAGTCCTGTTGTAGCAAAGAAATTGTGGCACCAAAAGTCGAATTAACAACAAAAAGAAAAAGAAAATAAATTTTCAATTTCATGGCAAAGTAAGAGAATTCATAACATTTGATTACTTAAATATTTTAGTTATTTTAAAAAGGCACCTTTATGATCAAGACACAACACATTAAGACATAACAATTGCGGATACGAGGGACGGAATATAAATAAAATATATTTTGAGGATAATATATAGGGCATGGGTCGAGAAATAAACAGCATTTTATATTATTTGATTATTGATTATATAATTTTGTTTGCGCTGAAAGTGCTAGTTTGAATGGAATATCCGAAATTACCATTCAATTGGAATGTTGCAGAAAAGTTGTACTTCATTATTCAATTAGATAATTACTGTTAAATCGTAGTTCATCATTCCATTAGATTTATACAGAACTGTTAAGATCGTATTTCATCACACAGTACTGTTAAATCGTATAATAAACCCATATTAGATTTAAGTTAAGTTTTTATAAGTAATATTTCATCATTTAATTAGCACGGTTAAGTCGTAATTCATCATCCATTTGAAATTTTACAGGAGAGTTTCGATTAGATTCTACAGTGCCGTTAAGTCGTATTTCATCACTCATCAGATTTTATACAGCACTGTTAAGTCGTATTTTATCCGATTAGATTTTTACCAGTACCGTTAATCGTATTTCATCATTCTATTAGATTTTTGCAGCACAATTAAGTCGTGCTCTAGAAAGTCGTTTTTCATCCGATTTGATTTTTACCAGTACTGTTAATCGTATTTCATCATTCTATTAGATTTTTACAGCACAATTACGTCGTGCTCTAGAAAGTCGTTTTTCATCCGATTTAATTTTTACCAGTACTGTTAATCGTATTTCATCATTCTATTAGATTTTTGCAGCACAATTACGTCGTGCTCTAGAAAGTCGTTTTTCATCCGATTTAATTTTACCAGTTCTGTTAATCGTATTTCATCATTCCATTAGATATTTACAGCACTATTAAGTCGTATTTGATCATTCAATTAGATTTTTACAGCACTGATAAGTCGTATTTCATCATTCTATAAGCTTTTTACAGCACTGTTATGTCGTATTTCATCATTCAATTTGGATTTCACAAACAAGTTAAATTTCACCATTCCATTTTACGAGTATTATCACAGACGAGTTGAATTTTATCATCCAATAATATTGGTATATTTAGTAGTATTTTATCATTCAGGAGTATAACAGAAACGTATTGTGACATATAATCTCATCATTTCAATAAGCGTCAACAGAATAGCATTCCATTAGATTAGACTGCAACAGATAAGACAACTTTGTCATTCCATTAGATTAGACTGCAACAGATAAGACAGCCTTATCATTCCATTAGATTAGACTGCAACAGATCAGACAACTTTGTCATTCCATTAGAATAGACTGCAACAGATAAGACAACTTTGTCATTCCATTAGATTAGACTGCAACAGATAAGACAGCCTTATCATTCCATTACAACAGACTGCAACAGATGAGACAACTTTGTCATTCCATTAGATTAGACTGCAACAGATAAGACAGCCTTATCATTCCATTAGATTAGACTGCAACAGATAAGACAACTTTGTCATTCCATTAGATTAGACTGCAACAGATAAGACAGCCTTATCATTCCATTAGAACAGACTGCAACAGATAAGACAACTTTGTCATTCCATTAGATTAGACTGCAACAGATAAGACAGCCTTATCATTCCATTAGATTAGACTGCAACAGATAAGACAACTTTGTCATTCCATTAGATTAGACTGCAACAGATAAGACAACTTTGTCATTCCATTAGATTAGACTGCAACAGATAAGACAGCCTTATCATTCCATTACAACAGACTGCAACAGATAAGACAACTTTGTCATTCCATTAGATTAGACTGCAACAGATAAGACAGCCTTATCATTCCATTAGATTAGACTGCAACAGATAAGACAACTTTGTCATTCCATTAGATTAGACTGCAACAGATAAGACAACTTTGTCATTCCATTAGATTAGACTGCAACAGATAAGACAGCCTTATCATTCCATTACAACAGACTGCAACAGATAAGACAACTTTGTCATTCCATTAGATTAGACTGCAACAGATAAGACAGCCTTATCATTCCATTAGAACAGACTGCAACAGATAAGACAGCCTTATCATTCCATTAGATTAGACTGCAACAGATAAGACAACTTTGTCATTCCATTAGAATAGACTGCAACAGATAAGACAACTTTGTCATTCCATTAGATTAGACTGCAACAGATAAGACAGCCTTATCATTCCATTAGATTAGACTGCAGTAGATCAGCAAATTTCATCATTCAATAATTGTGTTACATACAACGATTATGCCATCATTCAATAAGAATATATAGTTAAATAGAAAGGTTTGAACTGTTTTTGATAGCACTCCATATAATATTTTGGTAAAGATTTATTCTGCAATAAATATCAATTTATTTTTGGGTTTTCCGTGGTGTTCCTTTGGTTGTGATCCTAAAGAATTGACACGTAAAATATCAGCTGCTTTCTTGGCCATAGCGAACGTTGAAAAGGCATCAAATCGGGCGAGAAGTTCGTCTTTCATAGCAATCGTGCTGACACTTTCTCTTCCGTTTGAAGACGGTCGCAGGGCAGCATCTATTAGGTTGCGATTGGCGACATTTAATGGTTTTTCTGAAGGTGACGGCACTTGTCTGACTGGTGCCATCTGACCAACAGGACTGGGTTGGTCAATTGGTGGGAATCTGGCTTTGGAATATGGTCGTCGTCCTTCTGGTAATTCTCTTTTCGGTATTTCGTACTCATCATTAGGAATGACTTGGAGTGGTATCGGCTCTTCGTAGTTACTGTTATCGCGGCTACTCGGTCTCTTCTGAGGAAAAGTAGGCGGTTTGGATTTATTTGATGGACTGATTACGGATTCACCTCGTGTTGATTGGTGGACCACAGCCGTGGTTGTCTTTTCTGGAACTTGCCATGGTAGTGGTGTGGTTCGATCAGTAGTAAATACCGAGATATTTTTATCCGTGTCATCTTTGGGAAAATCTGTTCCCATGTCTTGGTTTAAATTATTGGGCTCATTTTCAGTAAGTCGTTCTTCGTCTTCAGACTTCGCCATTTTTTTATGCTTTCTTTTTCGAAGATAACGCCGACATTTTGAGATGCAGTAAATTGAGCTACAACCACCATACAGCAACACAATAAGTGGCAACACTAGAAACATAGCCATGTTGTTCTTGTCTGCATAGAACGTTGAGACTTGGGCAAAAAATCCATTATCGATTTCTGCTGGAGTTTCTGTTGACGTGGCAGTTGATTCTGTTGTCAGTTCTAATAGTTTCCGTAACATTCTGCTTTCGTTACCTGAAAATACACAAAATAATAAAATTAAGTTAATGAATTAAATTGCAAGAGTAAATAATATAAAAAACAGTTAAATGCTTGGTTGATAATATAAAGGCCCAGATAGCATGGTAAAGGCATAGCTATATCTGTAAGAGTTTCTGGATAAAGATTCTGGTCTTTCGGATGAGACAATAAACAGGCTACAGGCTATGATCAAGAAGCAAATTTGCTGCAAAATTTTCTTCATTGCTCATGCACTTCAAGAAAGAATGGTGATATACGTAATTGATGACATTTTAAAGGATTTTCCCTTGATTTGGTTTTAAAAGGACATAAATAAGGAACTGATGGGTGCCTAAAGCCGCGTTTACACTGCGTTGACGTGAACCGTACTCGGTCTGGATTTTTGGCAGTCTAAATGCGGCTAATGTCATAAGTTATAGAAACATATGTCGTGGTTCTTTCAATGGGTTGGTTGCGTGTTAGATTTCTATTCAATATTGTGTTTCACATACGATTTTTTCTTGAATGATTTGAATAACCTTTTGTATAATTCTCTTAAACAATGTCAGACAATAAACTCAATACCGTCCAATCGATTTTTACATCAATTAAAGAACTTTGTATGTCAAATCTATTCCAGATCTTTGTTCCGTGTATAATGACGTTGCTGTCAATAAAATAACGATAAAAACACCATCCCTTTTCTTGCTTGGAAACTTAGAATTGAAAACAAGAAAAAGAAGTAGGACAAAGGCGATTTGATTCTTAGCGTTACTATGGAATCATCGCTTACTTATATTGCTATGATATTGAAAATGGTAATTCGTATTTAAGTAGGGCGATCAACTATACTGACAATATATAAATGTCGCTAAAGGATTACTGACAATATAGTGACGAGACCAGTGGCTTTGGTCACAAAGTAAAGATTTATGATTTGGTACTGGCAAAGTGAGTTTTCGGGAAAGGGTGATGAGATCATCTGTCATCGAGTTAAGACGTCAATAATTTATAGACTCATAGTTATTGCCCCAACATATTACAAATCTGTAGCCTCTTGTGTTATATACGGGTAATCTTAAAGTGATACTACATCTTAGAATGAAAATAGAATTTAAGTTCTCAAGAATGGTCGATATGAGTATATATTCATCAGTGAACTTACCTGTTGTCATAAAGTTACAATAAAACTAAGTAATTATTGAAAAACGCTTAATCTTAATATTGAGCGTTTTTCAATAGTTAATTGCATTTCTATGGATAATTACTAAGTTTAATCGGATTATATAAGGTTCCTGTTATGTTATTTATGACACCAGGTATATCTACTGATGAATATATACTCTTAATCTTATTGGCGAGTTCCAAATTCTTAAATTTTATGTTCATTCCTAGTATACCTTTAAAACTGTATGTATTGTGAATTATCATCAAATTAATGGTCAGAAATTAACTATGTATTTGTGATGATTCTGAAATGTAACCCTTGACCTCGGAAGATGACAAAGATTCTGAGCTGTTTTTCCAAATCTTGGCATATTGAAGGCAAATTACACGACGATCTTGGAATTTGTACAGTTAAGGTTCTTTTGAAAAGAAACTTTATGAATATTGGGTCTGTTTTATGGTGGTAATAGACAACAGTTAAACAATACAATAGTTTACACACGTTCTTTTCATTATTTTATATCGATTAACATGTCTGCATACTGTTTACTGAATAAACACTTTGTTTTTAAACCAATTTTATAGTCTAGAGCATTCTTATGTGCTCAATCCTTAATTATGTAATATTCTCGACACTTTCATGCTTTCGGATTTTTTTTTATCGTTAGTTACTTAATAGGGATTGTTAATTCCACTCCAATTTCCAATCTGACGTGATTCCTGTAATTCTACTAAAACTAAGTGTTTGATAACATCACTAATTGCAGAATAATATGCTTTATCACTTAAGGCTCTTCGTAATTGAACGCAGAAACTGTTAAAGAGCCTTTTGTATAATGATTATTAAAAATGGTTTATCTAATTGAAAATTGAACAATGCCATATTGTTTGCGTTGATTCCCAATTGGAAATCGATTGCTGTCTTTCTTGCATAATGTTTTCTGAATAAACATTAGACTTAAAAAAAAATTTTTTTTATAGCTTTGAGCAGTATCGATGCTGAAAATCTTCCATTGTTTAATATTCCAGACACCAGCACTGTGGGTTGTTTTTATGGTAAAATAAACTAATAATAAAAATAATATTCAGGTCCAGAAAAGTAGGACGTAAACTCCATTTCATTTGTAACAACTTTAAACATGGATGCAAAAGAGTTGCCGAATGCTGAAAGCTTTCATGAAAACCGTTGTAAAGGTCCGATCATGCAACTAACAAAGTCGGAACACCCGGATTTTCGAAAACGCATTGCAACAGTTCGTATCTTGGCGAATCTGGTCAATAGCATGATTCAGTCGACCAGAGCGCACCAACAACTGAAAAATCGTAGTTACCACCAGTTGCTCATTCGTTTAACCTTTTATCAAAAATTTGACATTTTCGTTGACTAAGCATACCTTAGTTACAGCAATGTAATAGCATTTCAACATACTGCTTTTTTTCAGTTCAGATTGAATAAAACACAAAACGACAATCGACGATGTTTCTATACAGATGAATGAACTGTTATAAAATTGATAGTAACGATAATACACATTAATCGCTTCATAAGCCAACTATGTAATCCTCGCCGTTGAATATAAATTATTAATTTTTGCATTAAGTAAAAAATTTCCTTTCAGTATTGTGTTATATAAGTCCAGTGTTGCAAAACATGATTCCTTTGATAAGTTGCATTGTGCCGTGTTTGCCAAGTTTCAGTCTATATTTTTTAACTATTTATATCATATTTGTAAAGAAACGTTAAAAAAAGGGCTTATAGTAATTTTTGAACAGAAAAGTTATAACCAAATGATTTTCATTAAAAGATATTATTCTCTCTTCATTGTTAATACCGAAATTAAACTTATATAGAAGAAACTCATAATATCATTTTCATATTAATTTTATAGGTTATGATAAAAGTTGGTTTTAATGCGGAAAAAGTTGAAGCATATGTCATTCTTCGATTAGGTTTATCAACTAAGCATCAAAGAATCTACACAGTATTTGGCCATTTGGAAAATTCGGATTGCTATCGGACTGGGTCTTTTTCTTATCCACGTATTAGTCTCCGATCATTGATGTTCCAGAATAGTATTTTACGAATTAATATCATATGAAAGGAACTACCAACTGTAATTTAGAATCGAGAGGCAAGATTGTCTTTCAGTTGATGAAAATTACCACCTATTGAAATATTGTTTGGGAATTCGATTTCACAATAGGGGATTTTCAGTTCAGTTTTTTAGTTCAATTTTCTAGAATCAAACTGTATCAAATGTAAATTATTAAACCTTTCTAAGGGTGAATTTAAGACCAATGATAGATATTTTGACTCGGAATATTTCAACAAGAAAACAACCAAAGATACATTGAACTTGAAACAATTGCTTAATGTTAAGACAAAACTTAAATGGGCCCGGGACGTATGCACAATTTTCATTATTGATAACGTGGTAAATTATAGGTGAAAATAAAACCCAATGTAAATCTTGCGTCAATATGTACAAAGCGACTTTTTAAGGTTTACGTAAACCTTTTAAATAGTTATATCGTTCTAAAAGCTTTTTTTAAAACTTTCAAAGAAAGCAAGGGACATATTTCTTAAGATTTTGGTATTGGTTTTATTTAGGAATCTTTCCAAACTTACTTAAAAATGAGATTGTCCCTCTTAATACTACAAATTTATCTCAACGATATTTTCAAAATTTCAGTTAACTGGGCGTGGCAGTGGCGGAGCCAACGGGGGTCAGAGGGGGCAGACGCCTCTCCCCACCCTCTAGCAGCCCCGAAAGCAAGTTTTTCGGGCAAAAATCTCGCCTCTCCCCTCGGACGTTAACCTGGCTCCGCCTCTGGCGTTGATCTGAATCTTTCAGTAGAAAACGACGAAAGGTTATATAACGTTATTCTAACGGGACGCGGGGTATTTAATGAGAAAATTTCAGTACCGTCACGAACGATCCGTTAAAGACAAAACTAACAATCGCTACACAGACAAAACAAATCTCTACCAATTCATTACGAATTAATGATAAATACATTATAGTATAAGTAATAGTATAGTAATGTCGCCATCCCGGTTTCTAACGTCGCCCGTCTCAAATGAAGCGTATAACAATTAACATGAAATAATTGACAATACTATACTTACCACTACTTAATCCTATTTTCATATAAATAATTAAAGATAAGCTTAAAGCGAAGGTCAGGCACATTCTGACTCCGGTTTTGATACCACCAACTCTCAGAAACCTTCAACAAATCTTTTCCAGACACGCCATTTGCAATATTTAAATCATGCGCAGTAATCTTAAAAAATGAGACATGGGTTAGATTGAAAATATTAGCTGTTTAAATGATATATTGATCAATGCTCATTGTGTTCTGCGGGGTTGCCAGGCAATCTATCAAAATAACATTGGTCTGACCCGCCGCAAGTCGATATGAGAGTAAACAATGATCAGAAATACAAGATATTGATTTACGAAATTCCAAACAAGAATGTATTGTCCTCCAGCGGAAACAATGTCAATCGATGGTTGGCATAACCAGTGTTTTTTTTCTTTTACCCTGCGAGCATTATTGAGTCGTATTGCAATAGAACAAATAATAATATACTTCACAGAATAATCAATTTTTATCACACCAGGCATGAAATCACAATTTAAATATTTATACTTTTGTAAACACTTATGATCATGTCAACACTTCTATTCATGTCAACATTTCTATTCATGTCAACAATTCTATTCATGTCAACATTTCTATTCATGTCAACATTTCTATTGATGTCAACATTTCTATTCATGTCAACAATTCTATTCATGTCAACAATTCTATTCATGTCAACATTTCTATTCATGTCAACACTTCTATTCATGTCAACATTTCTATTCATGTCAACAATTCTATTCATGTCAACATTTCTATTCATGTCAACAATTCTATTCATGTCAACATTTCTATTCATGTCAACAATTCTATTCATGTCAACATTTCTATTCATGTCAACAATTCTATTCATGTCAACATTTCTATTCATGTCAACTCTTATTTTCAAGTTAACAATTACTCTCATGTTAATAATTTTTGATTATCTGAATACCATTTTGTTTATTTCAACACGTATGCATGTTGACATTTCTGTATGTCAACAACAGAATTCATGTCAACATTCATGTTTATGGTCAGACTAGCGTTTATTTTTGTGTCAACATTTATGCTCATGTGAACATTTGCACTTATGTTTACATTCGTATTAAATGTTAACATATATGTTTATATCCGAACTTATGTTCATGTCAACATTTCTATGTTATGTCTTTATTGAGGAATTTATGTTTATATAAGCACTTATGTTTATGTTGGTGTCCATTCGGGAATGGATATAAACCGATACCCTATGTTATGCTTGGTAGTAAGAACTTCGCTCTCAGGACTTTAATATTATTGCTAGATGGTTCCTGTTACCAGTCTTTGTCCTCAATGAAAACATAGGGAATAAAGTTAACAAGAGCCCCAGGACAAATGTTAACAATCAGTTACGTAGACGAAGAGCAATTGATCTATATTAAAATCAATATCGGGGTGTTTACCATAAAAACGGAACCCGAGGATATAATAATAAGATCCATATCATCCAGGAACCCGTTATTGACCCAAAACACTACACGAGTTTTTTGTCCATTGTCTTTCTGAAAGAGAATTGTTAATACACGCTGTTCTGATTAAAATATGTTTGTTTGAAATAGAAAAGGATAAAGCTATCAATAAGAGATATGTTCTGTCCTTATTAATATGCCTTTTATCATGAATATTGTTGGTGGTATTGTTACTATTAGTGGAGGGTAATACGACAGGTCAATGCTACGCCTTAACGATTTCTGAAGGGTCCAACACACATGTTTCCGATATTTTGATTACCCCTCGACTACTTTATAATGTCTTAGTAAGGCTTTTTCAATGATGTAATGAAAGTTCACGAACAAAATTAATTTTGAGATTTTTTTCTACAACTAACAAATATTTTTCCCGGCTAAGAAACCGTTTGTCACTAGTTTTGAAGACATTTAAAACATCATCACAAACTTTAGAAAACTAATTAAATGGAAATTTTTAGGATTCCCCTGACAGCTTAAATAATGCATACTGTTTGGCTGTAGGTCGGAAATTGATGATAACTAACTTGTCCCTTGTTGGTTAAAACTGAGAAATGTTTTTGACAATACACCAATGTATATTTTATGATACAATTATTTGATAGCAATCGATGGAAAATTATGGAAATTTTCACTTACTGAACCGTAATATTATACTTCCTTCAGCATTAGATCATTTACTATAATTAAGAACAATAGTCTAGAAATGATAGGATAAAGAAAGTCTTCACATTGCTTTAGGTCGCAAAATTAACAAATTGTGATTTTTATAACATATGTTTTGAATAACCTTAAGGAACATTTTGTTGGGGTTTTTTTGTAGGTCGAATATTTTTGCTCAATTTTGTGAAAACTATACACCAACATTAGGGGAAACTAGTCTCTTAACGTATCTGAAAATTTTAACTAAAAAATTGCAGCCGCTAATATTTTAACGCGTAAATTATTTCGAAAGTTTACGTTAACTTTTTGATTTCGGGGAAGGGAGGGTTTGATTCTCCTAAATGTACAGGCCTAGGGTGGAACAGATACTTTGATTAGAAATTGGGATTAAGGTTTCTGATACTGGGTTTTCTTCTGTTCTGATTCTGATCTGAAATTAGAAAAAATAACTAAATAACTAGAAGTATAGTATCTGTTATGTACTGATTGTTTTTAGTTTACTATGAACAATATTATCACTTAAGTTTCTTATTTTTTGAAAATGCAACTATCATTTTCTGCTTATAGACATGGGGGAATTTCTCTTGAAGGCTTTTATAGTGGGTATGAACTATCTTGCTTGCTCGATTGCTTGTTGTATTGAACGGGACAACAAAGGTTGCTATGCCTACATTATGGTGAATATTTAGTCTTTTGGGACAGTGACAAATACCATAATCACATGAACATTTTATACATTTTTCGCTCTTAACATGTTTTCTCTTCCGAATGTTCCATTTATATTTATTTAAGTATCTCCATTGATTTCATTAAATAGAATTTCTAGATTATTGTCTGTTAAACTCTGTATAAATCCTGCACAAAAGAAAGTAAGTTAAAACAGTACAAAGATGACAAGAATTCATCGATGTAGAAAGATAATGGCAAAATCTCTTGTAACGATAATTATAACGAGAAACACTTTTATTTCATGAATTTTACCCCCCATGAACTTTGAGATGCAGATATTGTGTGTACTTGTGTGACATGACATGGAACGAAAGTCTATATCCCCTTAGGGTGTGGGACTAGGGTGTCAGGGGTGTGGCCAACTGGTGTAGGAGAAGAAATTATTTTGAATTTAGAGAACACCTCACATCATCACATGCTTGAAATGTGGCTGAAACAATTTTTTTGAGGTGTGAAAGGTCCAGGGGTGTGAAAACTGAAAAAGGGTGGGAATCACTGATCTAAATCCTTTATAAACAGTTTACTCCATTTTTCCGTAACACTTTTAAGAATGAACACCTCGTTTTGGTTTATACCGCAATTGAACAAAACTGATATACCGTAGCAACTTTTCTGCTTTCCTGGATGTAACTTCCGGGATGTAACTTCCGGATTGTGAAGAAAAATTAGAAATGGTTTAATTCCCCTCGAGAGATCGTAAAAAGAAGGTCAATACCGTTGTCTCGCAAAATTCCCTTTATTCTTAACAGCGTAGCGGCTGCTTATGTCACTAGCCAATTTAGGTCCACCAAAGTACTTAAAACTCCACTGATTTCATTTCATTCTGCTTATGCTTTTGCAATTTTCTACTGACATTAAGATGATGAATTGAAGTATTAAAATAATATTTTATGATGAGCGATTAATCCTAGATCTATTTAGAATATTGATTTTCAAAAACAAAAGATTGGATGTCGTAGAGATAACTTTGTTTATTGGCATTTATTGGTCGTCTGATTTATTGGATACACATTTCTTCATATATTTTTAATCGACATTTTAACAATGTTTTACTGACTGTACACGTTTATAATCAATTCACTTATTAAGTTTGTTTATGATTAATGGTAAGGGAGAGGCTGCCCTGGCGAGTCCTCCTACCCAAACTGCTTAAAAAAATGAAATGAACTTTGCGTCCTAGTTTTCTGCAACTTATTGGACTAATGAAGACAGTAACGACATGCATTCTGAAATGGGAATTTTACAAGGACAGCGCATAGCCTACTCTTTTTTGATTTCCAACTGTGGATAGGAGTTTAAAGTTTAATGGTGTATTGTATTTTTGGAATTGGTCGGTTGCAAGAAATTTTTCAGGGGTGCAATCTATTTGATCGGGAGGGCACTACCCCCTTATATAGTGGCTCAAATACCACAGGAACCGATTGAACCAAGTCCGCGGCCTCCCCCTCCCTCAGCCCCAGACAAAATTGCAGGAGAGGATATGATAAAAATAATCCCGGGAGAACGGCCAAACCAAATTAATTCCACTAAGTCAGTGCTCTTGTACCTTCGTTCCCATTGTCAGTGATACAAGTTTTGAATAACTGACACGGAAAGGGCATCTCGACATGGGACAATATACCGAAAACCAGTTTTAATCTAAACATCATTATCGAAACAATTATTGATTTGATCATGAAATGATTTACAAATGACATATTTTAGTCGATAACATACTTAGACACTCAAACTATTAAAAAACTTTAAAAACTCTCAGAAAACGGTTGTCTATTCCTGATCGATTTTCAGCTTTGAGGAAGCTCAGCTCCTTACTGTCTCATAAGATACGTTCTACTCTGAGCTTCTCCCTAGTGAATATAATATGTAAGAGGAAACTTGAATACAAGGTCAATAACTATAGATAAGATAACATAAAAACAAAATTTACTTCAGTATCAAATAATTAGAATGAGGCCTTCGTTATTTATATTTTTTAGTGTTTTCTTTTACACCCACGGATTCAGTTTAGGTATGTGAATAGCATCTTCTTTTCTGAATAATGTTATCGCCTTCATTTTAGTTTTCCGAGGTGATTACCACGCAGCGGGCCATTTCATCTGATGGCATTCTTCGATTTGGGTTTCTTTCCTGTGAGAGTACATGTATTTGATAATATATATTCAGTAAATTTACATTCTGATAACTTTTCATACTTTCAGCTGGTGATCCTAATTTTAGATTTGCATCTTACTATGGAGACCACATGGTGCTGCAACAGGGCCCCAAACGAGCCAATTTATGGGGATATGCATCCAATTTAGGTGAAGTAGTTAGTATCAACCTTGACGACCAGCCAGTCATTACAGCACCTGTGGTTGCTGGGCATTTTGAATCTTGGGGTGTATGGAGTGTCAAGCTACCACCAATGCCTCCTGGAGGACCACATGTTATTACAGCTGTGTTACAAAATGATACCAAAATAATGCTACAAGATGTGCTATTTGGAGATGTCTGGGTATGCTCTGGACAGAGCAACATGGAATTCGACTTACGCTATGTATGTTTATATAATCTTTTATCAAGCTCATGATTTCACGCTTTTGGACTCTTACTGCCTATTTTCGACTTTTCAATCTAAGCGCAAAAGGGAAATATTTCAAACAAAATTCAGTCCTTAGATGTGTCTGACCACTAATATTTCCCCTTTAACACGTCTTCAGTCAACCTAATTTGCAACAGAAATGAATATTACGAAAAACTCTTCTTCTACTGCAACTTCAATGTTGCACTTAAATATGATTAACGATTAACACTTTCAGACACTGAACGCCTCTTACGAATTTATCGATGCACATTATTACCAAGATGTACGAATATTTGCAGCAAATCGTTCTCAAAGTACAAAACCATTGTATGAATTTAATAGTCTTCATATACAATGGAGCCTTCCTCAAAACAGTAAGAATTTATTAATAATTCGAACTTAAGCATTTGATCGATTTGAGTTTCTGAATTTACGCCATACGAATTTTTCTTTAAAACGCACACAACGACCTCATTGGAGTGTCTGTTTTGCTCTTGAACGAGTATAGGCATTTTCCTAGTCACTTTAGATAAAAGGGAGAAATCTCGACCCATGTCTGTTATAGATTGGTCAGTTCACATGTACCTTAAGTAAGGAGGAGAGGGGTAACCTTGCGACAAGTCTACTAGCACCTTGCTAGCACCGAGATTTCAATGACTACTAGGAACTGGTGGCATCAGAGGCAATCTGTATTTAGTCACCCGAGTGCATCAACCAGTTTCTCATGTTTTTACTTTCTAGCATAAATGAGAACTTGTTGTCCCTGAGAACGTTTGGAATATGTGACCATTTGTTAGTACACGGCCACATTTACGATTTGCGCTATTCACTCATGGAACGGCGACAGATCCGAAGAGATGCTCTGAATATCCAGTCGACATGAGCGCACCTTTAAAACTAAGAATTGAACAAAACACATTTTCTATTTGATCATCATATTAAATATTACCGATTAAAAGTATTGCGTTCAGTGATATTTTATGTTGCTATGTTTCCTTAATTGCACTTCCTGTTTTTAATTATTTAAGGTTCACTGGGAGTCGATCAAAATCAGTTTACATATTTCTCCGCTGTTTGTTGGTTGTATGGGAAATATCTTTACCAGAAGTTGGGTTATCCTATTGGTCTGATGGAATCTAGTTGGGGTGGTACTCCAGTAGAGGCGTGGTCAGACGTCAAGTCTCTTGCACAATGTGGAATAAAGCCACCGTACGTATTATAACACAACTGTGCTTTATAGAGTTCCTTATGAATCTGTATGCCCTTAAAAAGGTTTAAGAATGTCTTAACCCAGCCCGCTTGTCTCTGCACGATGGCTTGCTTAGAGGCAATCGCCTCTTTGATCGGTTTGAAAGACAGATATATATTTACGAAATGCCTAATGAGCATTTTTGATTGCTACTCTCCTTGATTTAGCCAACGATTTTTGTTTTTGCTCGCTTCGTAAGTTTCCTATATTTTCATTGTTATTACAATTATTCATCTGGGGTTTGAGTATTGACTTTCAAACTTTCCAAACGCGTATGCCAATTCGACGTGATACAACAAATACTAACAAATATTACGACATGGTCCTCTGCTGGGATATATTTTATTGTCGACGATAATTCTTTGATGATATCACGTTATCGAAGTAATGTTTTATATTATTTTTTCAGATTTAAAAATGAATCCTATATGCCTTACCCTTCAACGCCTGCAGTATTATGGAATGCTATGATACATCCATTGCTAAATAATACTATATATGGTGCTATCTGGTATCAAGGTAACATTACATAACATTACATAAAATAATGCTATGCATAGACTACAGCTGAACAAAGGCCAGTTGTCTGAAGAGCGTGAAACTCTGAGTAACAACAATATGTTCAAAAACTGAGGTTTCGTTTTTCTAAAATAGAAAAAACATTTTTTTACATGTAACTCAATAATTTAGCAAAGAGTACATAAGAAATGAATTGAATTAAACTCTGTGTCGGGCTTGTTGAAATTCTTCTTTTCATTCCAAGCCTTTGGTCTTTCCTAATCTATGAATTTCTTGACTATTTGTCGGATGTAGTGTGTATCACGAGTATTAAGCTATGTCCTTATTTCAAGCAAAATGTGAATTTTTCTTGCTGTATTTTGTTAGGTGAGGCAGACGCAGTACCATTAGGAACTCCGGTACAGATGAACCGATATAACTGTACTTTCCCTGCTATGATAGATGGATGGAGGGAAATGTTTCATGTTGGATCGAATGGTGAAACGAGTGATACCTTCCCTTTTGGCTTTGTCCAGGTAGGTGGATGGAGTTAATACCTAACAACACAAGGGCTTAAGTTTACTTCTCCACTTGCGGTCATGAACTGCTAGCAGCAGCGATCAAACCAACATTTACAAACTACTTGCAGCTGCGAGTCGAAGTCGAAACAACCAGGACGAGCAACTTCGCTTTCAATGACTCTTAGGCTGGATCAACCGACCGATCACAGCAGCTAGTGGTTGATGAATGGTGATTTGATTGCAGATGCTAGTAGTTGATAAATGTTGACTTAGTCGCAGCCGCTTGTAGTTGATGAATGGCGATTTGATCGCAGCTGCTAGCAGTTGATGAATGTTGACTTGATAGCAGCTACTAGTAGATAAGGTATGTTTAATTTCCAGTCAAACCGAATTCTTCTTCAGGACATTGGTCAATTTCTATATTGCTTTCTTTATTTCTAGCTTGCACCATGGCGAAATTTATCTAATGTTGTTGGTTTTCCTGACATCAGGTGGCACCAAACAGCCGATAAAGGTTTTGTACCTAATGATAGAATGCAAAATGTCTTTATGGCAGTGACTATGGATCTTCCTGATTTCACATCACCATTCTCCGGGTAAATATGAATTTGTCTTCTATGAATGAAAACAACAAAGGTGTCGATCACTTTTTACTCTGTATGTAGCCCGTATCACTTTAAAATTACAACATGTTCGTCTACGATGAAATAAAAGACTATAATAATTGATGGATTCTGTTCTTATTTCCCTTCCAGAATTCACCCACGTGATAAGCAAGATGTAGCTCACAGACTGGTTTTATCAGCATTAGCCATAGCTTACAACTATACTGGTCAGCGATATGCTGGGCCGTTTCCAACAGCATATGAGATATATCAAACAAGCAGTACGGTGAAAATATTTTATGATGAAGGCTCTTTAGACGTAAGAAGCAAAGATGGTTTTGAAGTAAGTTTTTAATATATTCATAACAGGACCAAAGAAGCTTTTTTTTTTTTTTTTTTTTTTATCCTAAGCTTTTCTACATTTTTTATCAACCTTTACTTTTTTTATGAACATTTAGCTTTTTTATATTTTTTTATGAATATTTAGCTTTTTTTATGAATCTTTAGCTTTTTTATGAACATTTAGCTTTTTTTATGAATCTTTAGCTTTTTTATGAATATTCAGCTTTTTATATTCTTTATGAATATTTAGCTTTTTTATATTCTTAATGAACCTTAAGCTTTTTTATATCTTTTATGAACCTTATAGCTTTTATATATTTTTAAAATTCTGTCCATGAATGTGAAGCTTATTAAACAATTCTTGTACTGACACTCTATAAATTATTTTTTATGACAGATCTGTTGTTCAGGTGAGAATGAAAGCGGTGACTGTACCCCGACCAGTACATCGTGGTATCCTGCACCAATAACAGATCATTATGATGCCTCTGTAACGCTGTCTTATGTGTGTGGAACGTTGGTACCGAATTACATTCGTTATGCATGGAGGGAATCACCGTGTCCATTTAAAGGCTGTGCTGTTTATGAATCGGTACAAAATCTACCAGCACCACCATTCATTGAAAATTTATTTAAGACTGAGAATGAATTAATAATTCCTTGCTAATTTGAACATTGAAAAGATTCGAAAATTGGCGCAAAAATGTCAAATGACGTATAATTTGTTTTTACGATTTTGTGCGGTATAACCTTGAACATCTTTCTTTCTGTCTGCCCCGCATTTATGTATGAGATATAATATGATTAGTACCCCGGTTCCCATCCTGGGGTGTGGACTAGGGTGTCAGGGGTGTGGCCAACTGGTGTAGGAGAAGAATGTATTTGGAATTGACAGAGCACCTCACATACTGGAAATGTGGATAAAACAAATTTTTGGGATGTGAAAGGTCCAGGTGATTGCTCCAGGGTGTAAAGAGCGAAAGAGGTTGGGAACCACTGGATAAGTACTATAACAGAAAACATATTGGTTCAAGGGATGCAACTCCATTGAATGTCGTCAATATTTTGCTTGCATATAAAACATAACATATACACATTTGGTACATATTTACGATCCTTGGACATTTCAAATACAAAGAGAAAGAATTAGTTTGTACAAACAATGTTTTGTACAGTTTGAAAATGATTAATGACCTTAAATCTACAGTCTATAAGCGCTATTTTATCCGCTTGTAACAAATATTGATTACGTGGTAAAGCATAAATTCATTTACGGTAATCCCAAGCACCTTACTCTCTTAGTTAGCATTCTACAAGCTCCTTTTTCAAGTGGCATAATTACTTAATGATATATACAAATTGTGTGCTACAAATACAGAATTGATAATGTTATATCAATGCTTTGAAATCAGTTTCACAAGTTGTTAATTTGTTATCGAATTGCTGTTATTGTGGATGACATGGGGTAATATATTAATTATGTCACCCTTCATTTTTAATTAAGACAATCTAAGCTGTGATAAATACTGAATCGTTATTAATGTCGGATTTTGTAAATAATCATACATTCTGTACAAGCACTCATTAAGATCAATCAGAATTGAAAATGCTTCAGAGAAGACGTTCATCAATAGGTAAGCTACTATATTTTGAATTCTCAATAATCATTTCGTTTACACTGCCCCCTAATACTATTGTAACAGTTAAGGAATGATATGAGCCAATATGGCAACATTGTTTTTTACAATGGCCCAAAACCATTTTCATTACAATTGTAAAAGACTGAATACGAAAAAATCTCACAGTCCAATGTCTGAGCCAATGTCACTATGAAAATTTATTTTACAATTGCTCAAAACCAATTCCGTTACCATTATAGGAGGCGGAATTGGAAAAAGCCACAAAATCCAAATTGGACATCAAGACTGTCAATATTGTTTCTACTAGTTCCATTGATCCAACTGACATTACATGGAAATCAGTTTGATGCCACAATTTTCTATGTTCGTGGTGACAATAACGTCTTCCAGTGTGCAACGATACTTTTGCGAAATCGTCCGCATTAGCTCAAACTCTTTCCCCAGGTCCCATCTGATCGTCTGATCCATACGATTAGACATAGTCTAGAAGAGACTTTAAGAGTCTGTCCTGACGCACGATTTAAGCATTTGATTTTAATTTTTTGCAGTGACATCCGCCGAGTCTCATGACAGTTTTGTAAACCGATCAAGACAGCTGATTCGTGTCACCCGAGACCAGATAGTCAAACTGAACGACATGAGTACAGAGGTCAGAGAAATGACAGAACGACTCTTCTCTGAAGAACAATCCTATACCAATAGATCCTCCAGAAGACGAAGCTCCGTCGGCGTTCGATTTGAATCTCATCATGTAATGTCTAAGAGACGAACGTCCAAAACAATTTCCATGAAACTTCCCCCAAAAAAGCAATCGAAATTGCATCCACGTAAGAATGGTTTGCTTACGACGAAAGATGCAAAAGATGGAACAGAAAACTCGGATGTACATCTCCTTGAAGTCAACGGGACATCCAGTATTGAAGCTGCTAAGGCAGGATTTGTTGGCCTAGAAAAACAGGTGAACGAAACGACGCAACGTAGTCGGAAAACAAAAGAATCGGAAACGAACGAAACGAAAGGCCGTAATTTCTTTGGCTACAGCAGTATCGACAAGGCGAGGTATGTTATAAATGAAAACGGAAGCGCACAACAAAGGAAAAATGCAGCTGTGTTCGAGTACAAATTCCGCAGCCAGCGACCAACTCTCCAGTTGCCGCAAATTAATTTATCAACGGATGAACTATCGCCGCTGTTGACTGCTCCTGCAACTTCAACTCCAAGATCGGAAAGTCCGAATTCAAGTAGAGTTGATGCATGGAACAGTCGTGCTCTCATTATGTTCGGGAATAATTATGATAAATTTATTAGGAATAGAACAGAGTGTATACCATTTCGATGTGCTGCATTTAACCGACAACAGAAACAGTGGTACTGATCCGCATTTTGAAGTATTTGTACCATCCTAGGCCAGCACATTTGGGAGAATCAAACTATCCCTTCCATGAAATATAAACAAGCAGTTTGAATCTATAAGTTAGCGAAAATATTTGTGCACCATTCAAAGGATAAACAATCCATTTTATTTTGCAATAGCGTAACCGAGTTGAAACTATACAAGCTGGACCTTAACCATGTATAATTTCTAAAACGATGAAAATATTTCGAGTAGTCTCTTGGGCTACGATTATGTTGCGATATGAATACAGGGCTTGACTACAATTCTATGGTATATTTTGTTTTGCCTGTAAGAGCCTTTTCAATCACAAAGTGCTTTTGTAAGAGCGAAAACAATATAGATCATTTATTAGCTTTATTTAAATACTGCTGAATTGGGTAGCACTATATTCAATTTTAAAATCACTATAAGATTATGAACAAAATATAACTAAATAGTTTAATAATAGTATGCCCTTATTTACAATTATAAAAATGCTAAATTAATTTATATACATATGAACAAATTTGGATACAAAATATACTGTTATGAGTCCTTCTTGTTTTTTGCACTTTTGAGATCCTGGAATCCTTTAGTTTTTGCACGAGAGTGTCTCTCGGTATTATATGGCCTTTTATATTTAAATCCATGCAAAAACAATTAGCAAAATGTGATCTTATATGACTTTGTGTGTCCTTTGAATTGTTTGGTAGAGTTTATAATGAACAATGTAGAATATGTAATGTTATCTTCTTCTTATACCTTGACTACAATAGCGACCTTTCTTGTGATCGTAATTGCTTGGCAATGTGAAGACTTATTTTATATTTACATAGAAAGAGATTTAACACTTTACAATTTAAAACATGATATAACAATATATATGTTGAAGTCCTTATTTCAAATAAAGACCTAATGTAGCTTAAGTTGCCAGTACACCATTGCGATCAACAGTCACTTTAGTCTGAATACAGAAAATGGTCAAAAATTTCGAACACAACTGAGTTGTGAGTAACGTTCGGAACTCATAGCCATAATGTTTATTCGCAACCATACCCGACATTTAGACCGAGACATCTGCCTCTAGTCCATCCTCTTTTTGATATATATTGCTGAAAACTTTCAAAAATAGTTATCAGAGGCTGGAATAGGGGCAGATGTTTCGGTCTACAGGTCGAGTATGGTTGCGTATAAATATAGTGGCTATGAGTTCCGAACGTAACTCACAACTCAGTTGCGTTCGAAACTTTTAACCACTTTCTGTATTCACAACCAAACGCAATTGTTGATCTCTATGGTGTAAGGGCACCTGTAAGAATTATTATCACAGATAGTTATGACCTGATGTCATTTTTTTTACAAAATTATTAACAACTCTTGTATTCCAACGTAGCGAATTGGTGCATCAGAAATCAAGGCCGTCACTAACGTCTTTTATGAGACAAAAATCCAGTCTTTGAAGTCTGTCATGATTTTCATAGCAAGGCTTTTTGTAGACTTCAAAAGGTAACTAGATATCGCAGATATCAAAAAAGCGATATACTTATCGGATATTATGTTTATATTAATAATTTTTCAAACAAACTTTTCTTTATCTCATTTTTATTTTTTGTTAAATTTGACTGAATGAATTTCCCTTGATGTAGTTAAGGCCCTTGAAATGAATCCTTATATGAATAGAAAGTAGAGGTGTTCTAATGACTTGGAAAAATACCATTTTCTCTCACATGTCTATAATTAATTCATAATTAGCTAAATTAGAAGAGAATTACCAGAAGAATTCCAATGAGAGTCTTTTTTTTTTGTTTATCCAGACTGTACATACATTGACATTTATGATTGGTTAAGTCTCTTAATTATATGCAATAATAACATAATGATATGATTAAGAATACATGATAATTCATTAGAAACACCAATTAATTAAATAGTTTGCTTAATTTGACTAAAAAATGAGGAAACCCATCTTTAAAGGGATTGTTTTATGTGTATGGAGGACATTTATTGCAACAATTTGAGTCCAATTTTCTCAAACATCTGGTTCCTTCATTTACAGAAATGTTTAACCGTATATGACATTATCGCTAAAGCTTATGACGTCATAAACGATAAGTTTTAGTGGAATTGCAAGGATCACGGACGTTTGTGTGAATATTGGTATGCTGAAAATGTATACTCATGATACACATAAAAAGTTTAGAAAACTTCTTTACAATCCCTTACAGCCAACCATCATACAAAGTCAAGAAGTCTTTGGCAACACCCCTAGCTATTCCAAAGAACTGCACTGAAAGACGAGAGTTCCTCATTCGAAATAAATTTGGCATGGTTACAGCTTTTTTTCACAAATACTTCATCACCAGCTGCTAAGTAAAATATACCTCCAACCTTCACGTTGTCTAGTACATCTATATTACCGCTTTGACCATAGCTCGCCCTGAAATTTGCATTAAAAGACATCAGCATGGGATCTACCTTTTAAAATAACGAGAAAAATAATGTAATAGTGTCTTATTATTGTTAAAAGAATACTATCGCGATTGAATAGAACAATTATAAATTGTCAAAAATTTTATGCTAGACTACAAAATGACCCTCCCCCCTCCCCCCTCCAAAATTAGCCCAAAACTACTCAAAATTGCAGTTAACTACCCCAAGGTTCAAACCCCTGCTTGCGTGATATATTATTATATCAGTCAATTGTATCAACAAATAGTCTGGACTTGTCATAGGGGCGGTTGAACTGCACGTGGTTATCTAAACTATTTACAGTATACAGCTATCGGAATACAATACCCCCTTGTTAAAAGTGGTATGGTCCAGAAACACGCTGGTAGGAAATTACGTCATACACAGGGTAATCCCCGTAATAATAAAGAAGCACATGCTTTCTTGAAGTGTAAAAACATTGACAATATTGTGTTTAAAATTGAAATTGGAAGAGTGAAATGTGAATAAAAGTGTATTTATGATAAAAGTGATGTTTCTGTAGTCAAGGTAAGTTAATTTCTTTGAATTTCAAGCTGTGAAACATGTCAAGGAAAAGTGAACATAAACACAACAATGATGCTGCAAACATAATACACTACTGTCCGACCACATTGATGCTCATAGTTTGTATATCAATTGAAATATCAACCAGTATCGACTTAAAATTCTAAAATTTCCTTTGGGTTTAGTAATTTCAATCTATGAAAAAATACGAATTCTAATTTGATTTTACAAATTGTGTATCATTCTCATGTGAAATTTGTTTATTTATTATGTAAACCATTTTGTTTTTGAACCAGTTAAAAAGACAGTGCTCTATTAACTAATTGATATATTGAACACTACTTAAACAGTGACAATATTTGATTATATGAAATGTTAACTATATAATATCTAAAACCCATTAAGATTCAATGATATTTAGACCCATGAAAAATTTGATATGACAGAAAGTTGCAAGTCAGTGTTTCTTATTTCGAATTGTTAATTTCGCTCTATTAAGTTAACTAAACATATCTCAGTAGAATTTTTGAGTTGATATTTCAATACATTTCAATACATTTCAAAATGATTGGCAAAACGCGATTTATAATAACGGACAGTAGAACCATGGACCTACATAAATAGGTTGTATAGAATACAGTACAATCACTACACTATACTTACTTCTGGGTTTGAGTAAGGACGCTACGGGCTAGTTTCGTTATAATTCCTCCTCTTGATTTGATCAGTTCCACACCACATTCAACCATATCAACACTAAACAAAATTTAAGTTGTATATTACATTTTGATTAATACAATGGGACTGCAATAAAACATAGTCATTACATGAACCCGCTTCTGTAAAATAAGCTGTTACAAGGCCAATAACCTTGCCATGTATGCACTTGTTTCAGTAAAATTAGCTTTTGAAAGGAATGTATTGTGTACTTCTGAAAGTTTCCTAAGATAGATCCTCTCGAAGGTATTAATTAACTCAATAATGAAACAGGAAATATATATATTTTTTTTACACAATGTAGATGCTGAAGTTCGTCATTTACATGTACATAGGTTATCTCCCTTCAGTTAAAAAATTTTCAAATTTCAATTTTAATTGTGTTGCCCATAGATGCCATTCATGGACACCGACACAACCTTCCACGGATGTTGTTCCCTATGCCCACGGTCCGTTGATACAGTGTTATCAAAATGGCTGTTTTCTTATCGTTAATGGTGGCATTCGACATTTGCCTTTAGTTAATAGTTAGTACCTATGTGTTGGAATTACTAATAAATTTACTCATGCTGGTATCTATTGACTAACCTTGCTGAATGGCCTCCCAACGTAACTTGTGTGTTTAACTCGTATGTACCCGAGATCCCTATTAAAATAGCCTTAACAATACCAGTAGATTCGTCATTATACTGAAAATAATTTCCTAATTCTCTGTCTGGTTTCTGCCACAAAAATATGCCCTCTGCAACAAAAAATAAAAAAACTTTTTAGGATGAAATGTTTCATAAGACACAATAGAATGCATGTGTTTGATTGGTGATGAGACCTGTCTTATTCCTTACTTGAACGTTCTTTGAAAGTTGAAGGCACTATCGGTGACATCCGAATTTTTCATCCAAGTGCAATTAGACCTCGCAAAATTATCAGCATTTAGACGAACATGCGACTCGCTATCGACTGCACAATTTATATGACCAGAATTTGTATGTATTCTTGTTATACTGCAAATCAATTATTTAAAATTGTATTACTAGTCTATAACTAACGAAACGTTGTAAGTAGCAAACTTACTTCTTGGGCCAGTCAAGGCATAACGTTCCTTACTCCATGTAATGTATTAAAGAAGTATTAAAACAGTGCCTCAGATCTTTGACTTGTTTGAAATTTCCCACGAGAGATCATGATAGAGTTTACCTCATTTAAAGATGGGCTCCCTTATTTTCATTTATGAAAATGCTAATACTTATATGAATAGAAAGTAGAGGTGTTCTAATGACATGTCTCACATGTCAATAATTAATTCATAACTAGCTAAATTAGAATTCCAATGAGTTACCGATCAATAAGGGTCTGTTTATCCAGACTGTACATGATGGTCATTAATTTATGATTGGTTAAAACTCTTAATTATATGCAATAATGATATGATTAAGAATACGTGATAATTCATAAGAAACACCAATTAATTTAATATTTTGCTTAATTTGACTATAAAAAAAAGGAAATCCATCTTTACTATGTATGTTGCTTTACAAATGATGCGGGTGGAATATACTTTATCACACTTTAGAACTAGGTTTTAAGGGCTACCATAGTGTTACAGTATGGTTTATTCTTATTATGCGAATTCACTTACCGTTATTGAAGGGGTATGCTATATTATTAGTATACTTCATTCCTCTCATGTATGTTAATATATGCGACGGTTGACCTGACTGTAACAGAATGAATTGAAAACATAATACAATGCAGCATTTACTTTATTTTGACAGGACCATGCATTTTGGTTATGGACTTAACGGAACAAATAATAGTGCTCACTGCTCACCGTCGAAATTTGAGCCTTCAAATCCATGTGTGTCCATAATTATCCGCCTTTGAAAGATTAAAAGACGAGTCGTCGTTTTTGAGACTCTGCAATATATGGAAATAGGAAAAGAATCTACTAGTTCCAGATATGTTTGAAGGAATTGTGCGATTTTCGTACATTTCTAGTACTTCTGAAGACTATTTTCATATATTCAAGACTCAAATCAACTCCCTAAAATGGCGCAACTTTCTCTTTTATGACACATTTGAAATAAAGAGTTTAATATTATTGTCCTGTGGAACTATCTTCTATTTTTGTTCTTCAAGTTTTGTTAATTGGTGCATTACTGTGCCTTGTCATAATGTAGAAATGGTGTTGTTTCACACCCGTTCATGGTATAGTGAATAGGTGATCAAAAGCAGGCAAAAATTCAGATTGAATAATTGTTTTTCATGGTTTGATATTGGCTTTGGAATAAAATACATCTTTAGTTATAATTTTTAGAATAACTTACCACATCTCTCTTGCTTTTTAATTCTGAAAATAGATAAGTAAATGGAATTAAATCTAGAAAACGAAAGAGGAGGCTAATTCATATATTTAGACAAGAAGACTGCTATGACATGGGGCTGCCCATTTCAATATTCAAATACAGCATGAATTAGCTCATCGCACTTGCAAGACGATCTTATTAAACGTTCCGTAGTTTTAAACAAAAATCACATACAAATGTCCCGGCGGTATATTATAACAGTAATATTATTCAACTTACTCTTTAAGAGATCAGAACATTGACCTATAAAAAATAAAGAGATATTCTTTAAAATCGGTTTTAAAATGTCTTAGGAACTTTTAATCAACATTCAGAAAACTCAGAATAAAGACTTTGTATTGGGAATAAACATCTATGATACTTCAGGATGAGATATACAAAGGTTTAGTCCTTAATTTGTTCAACCGCTGCCAGAACAATATCGGCTTTTGAGATTCCTGTGCATATTGGTTAATAAGACATGACATACGATTCTAGCACTTTTGCAAACGGAACTCGCTTGGTATTCTAACAAAATATGAACTTACACCCTCTCTTGCCCTTTTTATGACGTTTTCGATCTGAAAGATGAGTTTAATTGGTATAAGTTTATATGATAGACCTAATATAAAATATGGCTTTACTGTTTCTATATTCTTATGTTAATCTTGGGTGCTTTATCTGCAAAAATTGTTAAGCATTCAATATAATGGCAAAGAAAAAAATTGTTGACCATAAAAGACTCTTAAGAATCATCAGTAAATAGCCTTTGAAAAATGTAAATTGTACAGGTGCATTGGCAATAAAGGAACATAAACAAAGGGTACACAATTTGTGACCTACTTCTTTTCTTGCCCTTCTTTTTGCCATTTTCTTTGCCCTTGTCTTTGCCCTGGACATTACCCTCCGCCAATGCTCTCACAACCAAATTAACACTGGCTGGATAATCTTCATTATCATCATTCTCATCATCATACTGTAATATAAGATATGAGATGATATTATCATCATTATCATCATCATCATACTGTAATATAAGATGTTAGATGATATTATCATCATTATCATCATCATACTGTAATATAAGATATTAGATGATATTATCATCATTCTCATCATCATACTGTAATATAAGATATGAGATGATATTATCATCATTATCATCATCATACTGTAATATAAGATATGAGATGATATTATCATCATTATCATCATCATACTGTAATATAAGATGTTAGATGATATTCATCATTTTCATCATCATACTGTAATATAAGATATTAGATGATATTATCATCATTATCATCATCATACTGTAATATAAGATATTAGATGATATTATCATCATTATCATCATCATACTGTAATATAAGATATGAGATGATATTATCATCATTTTCATCATCATACTGTAATATAAGATATTAGATGATATTATCATCATTTTCATCATCATTCTGTAATATAAGATATTAGATGATATTATCATCATTATCATCATCATACTGTAATATAAGATATTAGATGATATTATCATCATTATCATCATCATACTGTAATATAAGATATTAGATAATATAATCATCATTTTCATCATCATACTATCATGGTCATTTTCTACGCTCCTCAAGATCAACGAATCACAAAATAAAAAAGTTATTTTATTGTGTCGAATGGTCTTTGTTTAATTTACTTAATAAGACTTGGGCGCTATATATTTTAGCAGTTTAATTTTCTGAGGTGTGCTCGTGTACTTTTTGACAAACAAGATTGTTGTAACACCCCAATTAGATAGTTGATTAATAGATTTGCTCTCTATATTTAAAAATATTTCCCGGTGAAGTCGTACGTGCCAATCTTATAGTTTCGATATCTGTTTTATCAAATTACACTTACACTACTAGCTGTGTACGGTGGACAGTAGCGGCATATTAAGTGCCTGGTTAGTTTTCAATGTACGCTCGCTCAAATATTTACACCGCAAGCGGGCGGAGCAGAGCTTGAAGGAGCGGAACAGAGCGAGACTCATAGAGAATCTGGCTGTATGTTTCGCAGGCTAGCATGAGTTCGCAGGCCAGCATGCTAGGTGTCCCCCGTTCAATTAGCATCTTCTCTGCTCTTCTCTGCGACGCCCTGATTTGTGTGTAGTGTAATTTGAATTAGTTGACTTGAATCCTGTCGAATTTGCGTCATGTGACATAAATAACAGTACCGCAGGCTATACTTGTGCTTTTATAAGTAGTTAAATGCAAATGTAATATAATGTTAAATAAATATGAATTATTCATATAATATTATATGAAAACACAAAGCAACTGATGCGTTCGGCTAAAGCAGTACTGTCTCGCTAACTTGGAATCCGAATCCAAACTTTAGACAGGACAAGAAGATTCCACCATATTTCCAACCTCGGGCGAATGCAAAAGGCCGGATAGTAAGAGCATTCCGACTGGTTCGCGGAACCACCGCGGCCGAATGAGTCACCATTCCGGAAAAAGAGGCCAATGTTACAACCCTGAATGCAACCCAATTCACATAAGCGCTCTGTATAAGCTATCAAAACTTATTTCATTTCCATTCCGAGATTCTTAAATAGAGGAGTTTGCTCCCTTGTGTGCTTTGCGTATTAATAATATTTACAACTTTATATGCAATACATTTGCAAAGTAAAATATTAAGCATATTTCATCCCAATCCTATCTTCTGTCAGCTGAGATCATGAGATAATAAAGTAGAAAATTGACCTCTTACCTTAGCAAGAAAATTAGGGACGTTATGCATTTTCGATAGTTTTTGACTAATTTGCGCATTCACTTTATTTTCTATGCTTCTGATCCAAACAAACATCGCAATATTACATGTGACACACATGGAAAATATTCCTATCCAGAGAAGTCGCAACTTGACTCGTGAACCTTGACCATCTGCCACAGTCACCCCCGCTTGCTCAATATCGGAGCAACCGCTGGGTTTTTCCGAGAAGCACATGCCGAAGTATAGCTGCATGAGCCAAGGTGTTTTCCAAGTGACTCGCGTAATCACAACAAACCCGTCATAAGTAGTTAGAGCACGACACTTTGTTGGTGATGACGTCACAGACAGCTCCTGATCTCATGAATAATCATTGTCGTATTATGAAGGCACCGCCTTATTCTTGCATTGTGCAAGCTATTTCCGAGAAATGGCTCGAAGATTGACGGACGTCTTATTGTCACAGTCTACAATGATAGTTATATAATATTATACTGTCTTTATAAAGTAAGCGTCGCTCTATTTTGTGTCTGGGCTATCAAGACATACTTAACCTCCAAATGATAACTATTTATAATCAATTTCGTAAAAGGGATAAGCAAAGCAAAACAAACTAAATTAAACTCTGAAAATATATAACATGGCATCATATTTGAATGTGAAGTTGTATGGTAAACGAACTGGCATTATGCATAGTGTGTTTCAATGATCAGAAAAAAAATTATCACAAAAATCTTTTCATGTTTTTTCATCTTTACATCTGTGACAGCAACAGACAATTCTGTGAACATAAGAGTAACAGTAATAATAACAGTAATAAAAATCATGTTAAATGAAATTATTTTTCCTGCTGTACACATGCTGTTCAATTTTGCTTGTAACCTTTTTATAACTGACCGACATTCAGTTTGAACTCTTCATAATATAGATTTGATATAGATATTTCAATATAATTCATGCAATGTAAATGTACACGTACAATGATTTGGCGCAAATAGGGAACAGGGCAATAGTAATTTTCCATTGCGGGTATAAAGCGTGAGGTTATTTTACAAACAGCATTAGTATTGTCGTAATGGTTGAAAGGTTAAAGGTTTAGCTTTTACTTATATGCTTGGCCATGATGATGTTGTTTTGAATTATCATGTGAGGAATATTCTAATACAGATATGCTAAAGGTTCCATCTTAAGAATGTCTCCTTAACTTATGTCTTCATTAGTTCACCCTGCACTTGAACAATTGGTCATAAGAAAAAATAGGTAATTTTGTCACGCAAATTTGGAAAATGGGTCACACTAACTTAACCTCACGATTTGTTAGTCACAGTGATATAGCCACAGCGTCAATTGGTCACAGTAATTTGGTTACACAGTAAATCAATCACATTATTTTTGTCAAATTGTACGTTGTTCACAGCGTCAATTGGTCACAGTCAATTTGGTCACAAGTAAATTGGTCACAGTAATTTGTTCAGTGAGGAAGAATTTATTACAGTATTTTGGTTTCACGATTAATTGACAACATTAATTTTTATAGCCACAACGTCTATTGGTCACAGTAATTCGACCACAAGGTGAATTTGTCGCAGTTATTTGGTCACAAGATCAATTGGTCACACGGTCAATTGGTCACAGTAATTTTGTCACAGGGGTAAATGTTCACAGTTATATGGTCATAACGTCATTAGGTCACAGTAATCTGGTCACAGTCAATCGGTCACAGTAATTTGGCCACAAGGTCATTAGGTCACAGTAATCTGGTCACAGTCAATTGGTCACAAGGTGAATTTGTGCAGTAATTTGGTTCCAAATTCAATTGGTCACAGTAAGTCTGCAGTTTTACTTATTGCGTTTGCCCGTTTCCTCACATGTCTATCCGGTTTTGTTCACGATAATCTGAAATGCGATAACAGCTAGAGCTATAGGTCACATAACGTAAACGTAACACGAGTGAAGACGTAACAAGGAGCTCATAGCGACTATTCCGTAGGACATTGGATCAGCTTTCTGTTCCGTTGTTCCATGTTGATGACGCGATCTGTACGACACCGCTTCATGTATCGAGATAAACCGTGTACGTCCGTTTGATCATTCAAACTGGAAATATTAAATGCTCTTAGATCTTGCTCTGAAATATTATCAAAGCATGTAAATAAATATTTAAAAAATGGAGAAGAACGTGATAGTACTAGGTTTGAAGAATAAATAACTAGGCTAACAACTTCTTTACGTTGGTGCCCAATTTGGTGACATATATGTACATTTATATAGTCCATTTATGTCGATAAAAAAGTGGGACAAACGAAGAGACCAGGTCATTCGTGACAAGAATCTTTTTAGACTACAGGACGAGTAGATGCGAATAGACGATATGGGTTATAAAACTATTGAGAAGAGAGGTACGAATCCGAACACAATTTTCTTTTGGATACTGTTCCGAACAATCAATGCGCATTTTTAAAAAAAAATAAATAAAGAATGTTGAAGACAGCCGCGGCGGCTCAGTGAGTTTTACACTTGCTCGCTAACCCGTAGGTCTAGAGTTTAATCCTGGCATCGATCGACGCATGAAATTTTTGAACAATATTAGACGTGAGTTATTGCCCTTGTTCTTTTATTGCCCATAAAGTGGGCCCAACCAGTGATAGTTTAAGCCAGACTTGTTGAAAGTGATTATAATAAATTGAGTTGTTGGTCTTATTTCTCGCTGCTCCCGAATCACGACTCAGTGTCAGCTTTCACCGCACATCAATTAAAGAAAATTTATACTTTAAATACTATCTATTATCATATTGAACACTATTTTTTAAAAATTTCTTTACTGTGAACTTCATAGTATATTCACTCTGTAAAATTGCACCAGATCGTAAGAAAAACATTTTGAAAACAAAGCAAGCAGTTATAAAAATTAGTAATTTTTGTTATTATATGAGGAAAAGTAAATACAAATGCATATAGTTTGAGATATTTTTCACTTGTGGGATAGAAGGATTTTGGTTTTCAATATCGTCACGGAAAAGTCAGTATCAGAAAAAGCAAGTTATACCATATGGACATTATAATCATTCAGATACAAAATAAATTCAGTCACAAAAAGTAACTCTTGTTGTTTGTAAATATACATTTTATTTTTAGACCAGGAAGTAACCCCTGATTGGTCAATATTACCCAATCAAATCCATTAAATTCTTGACCCCTTCGCTCTCTTAATTAATATTTGAGTGATCGACATGTATTGAACTTTAGAATGAAATATTCTATCATTTATGAAAAAAAAGAATTTAACTATGGTTCATTTTGAAATAGTCATATAAGGGGCAGAATGTAAAAGAAGCCTAATGATGGTCACCAAGTGTATGTTTTGAGGGTCTTATAAATGCATGGCGTATTTTTTACACTTTTGCATTTAAGTTAAAATGATTGTGAATAGATTTTTTATGTGTATGCGGGACCATGATAGAATCAATTTGCACCATTTTAATTTTCAATCAGATGTCTTGGATTCCTGCAATTCGACTAATTGATGACGTCACTTACTGCGAAGACCTTATGTGATAAAGTATATTTTGCAATTAGTGGAATTGCAGGAACCACGGATCTCTGTTTAATAATTGGAATGCTGGGAAATGATGCTATCAGTGTCCCCGAAACACAAAATTTCTTTTTATAGAAAACCTCATTACGATCCCTTTAATATCATACAATATTCTTCGGTTTTCTTTTCTTGAACGAGCTAGTTTTGTGCATCTATATGATGGTTGCATAAGTCTAATTGAAAATACATGTATAAAACCTTTTTGTTTCACAAGTACCAATTAGTTTGGACACACTCTTTACATTTTCGAAGTATATTAAAGCTATGAAATACAACGGATTTACACTTTTTGGAATTAATAAGACTGGTATGAATGACCCGTATGTTAATTGGAAAACAGCGACATCACATACACTAAATACTCAAACTTTACTTGCTATTTTGAAATAATAAACAGAATATCGCACTGAATATCTTTTTCTAAGAATTTATCTAACTTTATAAGAGTGTATATTATAGTTTTAAAACATCAATAATTCTGAGAAGTTATCTAAATATTAAATGATATATTGTGGTATATTATAGTTTTAAAACATCAATAATTCTGAGAAGTTATCTAAATATTAAATAATATATTATGGTATATTATAGTTTTAAAACATCAATAATTCTGAGAAGTTATCTAAATATTAAATAATATATTATGGTATATTATAGTTTTAAAACATCAATAATTCTGAGAAGTTATCTAAATATTAAATAATATATTGTGGTATATTATAGTTTTAAAACATCAATAATCCTGAGAAGTTATCTAAATATTAAATAATATATTATGGTATATTATAGTTTTAAAACATCAATAATTCTGAGAAGTTATCTAAATATTAAATAATATATTGGGGTATATTATAGTTTTAAAACATCAATAATTCTGAGAAGTTATCTAAATATTAAATAATATATTATGGTATATAACTGTTTTAAAACATCACTTATTCTGAGAAGTTATCTAAATATTAAAAAATATATTGTGGTATATTATAGTTTTAAAACATCAATAATTCTGAGAAGTTATCTAAATATTAAATAATATATTATGGTATATTATAGTTTTAAAACATCAATAATTCTGAGAAGTTATCTAAATATTAAATAATATATTGTGGTATATTATAGTTTTAAAACATCAATAATTCTGAGAAGTTATTTAAATATTAAATAATATATTGTGGTATATTATAGTTTTAAAACATCACTTATTCTGAGAAGTTATTTAAATATTAAATAATATATTGTGGTAAATTACAGTTTTAAAACATCACCTAATTCTGAGAAGTTATTTAAATATTGAATAATATATTGTGCTATATAACTGTTTTAAAATATCAATAATTCTGAGAAGGTTATTTAAATATTAAATAATATATTGTGCTATATAACTGTTTTAAAACATCACCTAATTCTGAGAAGTTATTTAAATATTAAATAATATATTGTGGTAAATTACAGTTTTAAAACATCACTTATTCTGAGAAGTTATCTAAATATTAAATAATATATTGTGGTATATTATAGTTTTAAAACATCACTTATTCTGAGAAGTTATCTAAATATTAAATAATATATTGTGCTATATAACTGTTTTAAGACATCACCTCATTTTGAGAAGTTATTTAAATATTAAATAATATATTGTGGTATATAACTGTTTTAAAA